TCAGCTGGGATGCTGGTTGACCATAAAAGCCCAGGCTCTCACCTCACACTTACTAAAACATAATCTCTGGAGATAACTCATAGGATCTGCATTTTGAACTGGATTCTTTAATAATTTTAGTAATTCATGAAGTTCAGAAGAAGGATCCTGTGGTTGGTATTCCTCACTGTATTATTATGTTGGTTGTTATTAAAACCAGGTCTATATTTCTTTGGCTGTCTAATAGGAAGAACTGAGATGTAGAATGGGTAGATGTCTAATGTCAAGCAGGAATTATGGCCATGCTCTGGAGATATCATGGTAGGATAGGGCTACAACTGACCCATGTGGGGCTTAGGTGGTAAAGAGCAAAAAGCAGCCCTGAGGGTGCAAAACCCTCAGAGCAAAACCATACAAAATGGAGTGGGCTTTGGGTACCTGTTCAGGGCAACCTCATTGGTGGGGTTAGGGATAGAAATCAAGGAGCAATGAATGTAAGTATAAAAACCAGAACTAGTAATGCATGCTGCAAGAAAACTTTGCTTAGAGAACAATGATCATTTTTATTACACTCTATAATAACATTTGAATTGGTGAATAGTGTTAGTTCATAACACTTTAATTATTTAGATTTAGCTGATTATTTCTTAATTTTATAAGTTCTTTCAAGAGAAAGAGGCAAATCAAAAGAAAAAAATAGTGAAATAGAAAACTTCACAGTCTATGATTTATACAGGCATTAATGCAAATTCACTCCTATCTCCAAACCACTTTCATATACTTCCTGTTTACTTCTATAGTTGCACATAAATAAGAATTGGCATTTGCAGAGCCTCAATTCATTCACTGTAAGATTCTCAATCATCATAGAACATGGTATTTACTAAGGAACAAAACTATGTTAAGGCTTTAGGGAGTTTTTTTTAAAACAATGTTGTTTTAGAGAGATTTTCTACTTGGATTAATTGATCCTCTGTTTAATTCCAATTTTGTAGAACTAGTCTTTTATGAAATATCCTAGGTAATCTTAAATTTTGCTTTCTTTAAAATGAATTTGAACTTTTAAAAAACATTAATTGTTTAAAATATATTCTTCACTGTGAAGAGATAAGTAGAATCAAGAAAGTGATTCTTAGTTTGGACACAGTGGTACATGACTGTAATCCTAGAGGTGGAGGCCAGAGGATCACAAGTTTGAGGCCAGCCTTAGCAACAGTGTGATCCTGTGTCAAAGTAAAAATAAGAAAGGGCTGGAGATGTAGGTAGAGCACCCCTGGGGGTTCAATCCCCAGTACCACCAAATGAAAAAAGAAAAAAAAAAAGGAAAAGACAGTATCTTCTGATGAAAAAGTTTTTGTTTCCCTTAGCAGTGTGCTTCCCTACCTTGAAGTATTTTGGTTATTCCAGGAAACATAGTTTAATGTGTTTAAGTTTTATTTGTTTTGATAATTTGGAGTATAAGAAGCTACCTAAAATTCATTGATTTCAACATTTTATTTTAATTTTATAAGCATGACTTGTTGAAGGTAATTTGAGAGATGAAGGAAAAATTAAAGACAAAATACAGATCATTTAAATCATCAAAGAACCTGGGAAGGACCATACCTCTATAAAGATAGAAACCACCATAGTGCTTAGGTGTTACATAGTCAATAAATATCTATTATATTTATTATTAAAACTTATTCAAATTATATTTGAAATAAAGCAAAATGATGGGAGTTCTGGTTTCAGTAGCTTATTTGAAATTTGATCACCTCCCTACTTTACATCTTAACTACAGAAAAAGTCTGTATGCCATCCTTATTTTTCTATGGAAATAATGCATCTTTATTATTTTAAAGTGTATGGTTTATTAAAGAAATTTATAAAAGTCAAAGGACAATTTAAATATGAGAAGTAGCCTGGAAATTTTGTTATGCAAAATTATCTAGTGGTAAATGTATATATTTTAATACTTATACCTAATACCTATGCTTCTTGGTGACTCTTTGCAATAAGGATGCTCCCGGCATGACATTACATGCAAAGATGTACTGCTGAGGGTCACAATCTTATTGGAGCAAGACTGCAAATGCTGACAAGATCAGTCAATCCTTCAAGAAGAAACTAGATCTCTTGGTGAAAAAAAAAAAAAATTAGCTGAAGTAGTTTTCTCAAATGGTTCTGTTCCATCAGAGCTAGTAGACTTTTTCAGACAAAACATTAAATTAGAAACCAATTAAGAAAGCCAAAACAGTCTGACCGCTTTACTCTTGTTTTCATGTAGGCTTTGGGGTGGCTGAGGGTCTGTGAGTGTGTGGGTCCTTAGCATTCTGAATATATCTCTACTCTGTGGGACAATTAGATAACCCTTGAAAAATTGATAGTCTGACCAGCCTCCTCCTAAAAAGGCTCCTTCTAAGAAAGAACTTAAAAAATAAGAATCTTGAGGAAAAAAGGAGAACGTTTTTTAGATAGAGCAATTTTAGTGGGTGGGGTAGCTAAATTTTTCACTATTCTGAGACACTTTAAGATGGAATTGACATTTTTTGAAAATATGTGATGGTGTGTGATGGTGTGTGTGTGTGTGTGTGTGTGTGTGTGTGTGTGACCATCAGCCACATTAACTGAAAAATTACATGTTCTTTAACATAAGGATAAACAAGGTTAAATAATGTAATACCTTTAAAAATCTGTCAACATTGGATAAAGCGATTACTGTTATTTTTATAAAACAGAGGTAAAAGTCAGGTCAAGTTATAATGTTGTATATATACATAGTACATAATATAATGCATTATCTATACATATTCAAAAAAGTTATACAGCTATCTTTTAAGAAAAACTCTCCACCTCCGTCCCTTTAACCACTAAGCTATGGGCCCAGCCCCTATTCTCTTTTTAATGAAATGCTCTTTGCCTTTCTAAAATGCTTGTCCTGTTCAGGAGCTGGAAATATTCCAGATGGCTACAATTTTTATTTTAAAATAAAACTTTAAGATTATCTAATTAAATGGAAGAGCCATTTTAAGAGCTAAGCAGCAGCTATAGACAGATATATACACACATATTTAACTTGTAAGAAGATCTTTTAAATAAAAAATGAGAACAATAACTATGATTTCTAAAGTGACATCATCCTTGCACTCTTAGCCTAGGCATAGGCTAGTGTGTTGTAAGGCAGAAAGAGAGAAAATCCACACTTTGAGGTGGTTCTTTTAACACACCTGCTCCTAGCCTGCTGGAGATCAAATCCAGGAGATCTACCAGAAGACGTGGAGAAGACCTAGGTATATAGCTTCATTGCCCGGAAATAAGGAGCTGTATTGCACTTAAATGTAAATAGCTCTGGTGAGTGTTGTACATAAGATAAATGTGCTGTTGTAAATGCTCTGATCCAGGTTGTCTTCTGTAATTGTCAGTACAAGTCCACAAGTCCATGAGTACTTCAACAGTGTGCCTAGTAAATTGCTTTGCATTATCCGGACTTTTGGGTTATGGTGTTATGATCTACATTGCAAAGTTTGACATTACTAGAAAAAGCAAGAGCAAAGGACTCTTTTATTCCAGCATAGAACATCTTGCCTGAAATAGAAATGCACAGCTTTTAGTGTTTTTATATATGGGGGACAAAATATTTGGTATTTCTAACCCCAGTATTCTATGCCATGGAGCTCCATGAACCATAAAATGTAGGAATTTAGACTGGTAGACACATTCTTAATTCCTTGAAGATTATGGACTCTTGAGTTTGATGAAAGGTAAAGATCCCTTTCCTACTAAAATATTTCTATTTTCACAGTAGCCCTGTGGGGTAAGGCTTGTGGACAAGAGGCCTAAGGCTAAGAGCTCCAGTGGCAGAATTGGTATTTGGTAGCATGTCCGGCCCCACACTCACACTCTTTCCCCTACCATACTCCTTCCAACCCTAGTTCAGCAAACCAAGCCCTTTCTGGTCTGGTATTGATCTACTTTGTCAGCCTTGTCTCTTGTTTTTTCCCTCATGCCTCCCACACGGAAGTCACACCAAACTGCTTAATAGGTATTCAAAATGTGACGCTGACCCTTGAACATACTGTTCCTGCTCCTGGAAAATTCTTTCTCATTTCACCTGCCTCCGTGACATCGGCTCAAATGTCAGCTTTCCAGGAAGACTTTCTGCCCTCTTCCCTTCACCTCTGCCCTCTTAGATGCCTTTCCTCTAAGTTGTCATTGTAACCTCTGGAGACTTTCTACTCATAATTCCACTTATTAAGCTGCACCATGATGATGTCTGTCTGTTTGCTTTTCCACTATTGTGTGAACATTTCAAGGTCAGATAGTGTGTGTGTGTGTGTGTGTGTAAGATTTGGCTAAGGTGTTAATACTGACTCCAGTATGGTTTTCTTTCTACACTCTCTTGTATCACATGTTTAAAGCTATATTTTTCCGAAAGATCTCTTAACACATGCAATATTAATAGGGCCATATGCTACTCCTCACTCAGCAGCATGAATTACACTGATAACATTGAAAATGGATGCTTGTTTCAAAGGAACAGTTTGACCCCATTTCTCCAAACACAAATTTATGTTTTACTAGGCAATTGTTTCTTAATAGTATAGTTCTATTTATTTTCTTGGTGACCTAGAGGGGGGAAATTCCTATCTACAGTTTTTTATCTATATGATTTTTAAAAAATCAACTATAAATGGCAAAGTTTTATTTAAATAGTAACAATGTTTTAATGTATTAGGAGTTCTTAATGTTTAAATGAAGAGTTCAAGTTATCATTAGAATACATATATTAACATTGTGTCACCAAGTACATTGTGAACAGAAATCATAGTTACAAAGATGAATAAAAAAGAAATATGTAGATAAAAACAGGAATTTTAAAGCAACTTAAAAAGAAGCAAATATGTTTTTATAAAAGGGAATAAAGTAGGAGAGCGAGAGATCAATAGAATTCTTGGTTTTTCTTTTTTGGTATGAGACGTCATATTTCATTACATGCTGAAAATATTGCAAGTTAAATTTTCTCTTTTTCCCCCATTTAGGCCAAATTTACAGATGACTGCAAGTTCAGGGAGCGATTTCAAGAAAACAGCTATAATACCTATGCTTCGGCAACCCACAGAACTGAAAGGACAGGGCGGGAGTGGTATGTGGCCCTGAATAAACGAGGCAAAGCTAAACGGGGTTGCAGTCCTCGGGTCAAACCCCAGCACATCTCCACCCACTTTCTACCAAGATTCAAGCAGTCTGAGCAGCCCGAACTTTCTTTCACTGTTACTGTTCCTGAAAAGAAAAAGCCACCTACCCCTGTCAAGCCAAAGGTTCCACTCTCTACACCTCGCAAAAGTCCCAATACAGTGAAATACAGACTCAAGTTTCGCTTTGGATAACTCTGATCTAGGCCTTGCCAGAAAGCATTCTTTTCCCTCAGGAGATTCTACAGGTGTCTTCAGAGCTCTGGAGAAAAATCTTCGGTCACAGCTTTGGCTGGACTCACTCTGTATGAAAAGTCAGGTCATTTGTTTCAGTTTGAAGCAAAAACTTTTTTTTTTTTTTTTTTTTTTTTGATAGGAATGGAACTGGAATTCCTTGTACTTGTAGGAGGAGCACAGCACTTCAGTTCAGAAAGCCTTTCGCTTTATACTTAGGGATATTTAGAATTCCACATTTTCAGAAAGTCAAATAGCCTGGACTATGTATTTTTCTGACTTTTTCAGCTCAACCTGAAAGAACATACATGATACATTTTTTATTTTTGGTTTCCAAAGAATATTTTGATGCAGATAAAATATTTTATTAACTTTTTATTTTTGTTTTTTTAAATTACCTCTGCATTGTTCATATTTTCTTACTTTTGTTATTTTAACTAATATGACATAAGCAATCGTTTTAATACTGTTTATGAATTATAAATGTGTTTATAGCTTATTTGTAACGTGGATTTCTTTTGCAATTTTCTATTCACTGCACTATTTTTATTTTATTTTTATTTTTTAGCCATACCTCAGTTAATGTAAATTTAGTTTGACGTTTTAAAATGTTTAAATTGTCTTCCACAGCATCAAAGGCTCAGCTTGGATTTGTGTGTATGCGTGTGTAAATTTATGACATTATGTGAAAACCTACCCCTTTAATGGCTGGTTAGAAATTAAGGAGGAAACTAACAGTTGTAGGTAAGGAAAATAATTAGAGGTAAAAGTACTCTAAGTTTGTAGCATTTATTGAGATCTAATTCTGTCTTGCCTTTGCTTCTCCTGTTATCTTACCCCCTGCCCTCATTCTGGAACAGCTGAAGGAATACATTTTATTCTGTCCATCAAGCATACACTATGAAATCGGAGTGCTTAAAAATACTTCTGTGACTCTCTGCAATGCTTGTTGTATAGATCCACAGGGAGTAACCACTTAGAGGAAAACGATGGAGAACTGAAGGAGATGAATCGTTGAACAGTTATCCATGTCAAGTCTGGTTGTCAAAAAATGTTCTTATTATTCAGTCAAACATGCTTTGAGCTTCATATCCTAAAAGTAACCATTCCAGTGAATAGATCTGCCATTTTACAAGGAAATTTTATGATACATATATATAGATATATATAGTATGTATATCTATCTATCTATCTATATATCTGACATACATATATAGATACATATACATTATATATATATATATATAATATATATATATATATATATATATATCTGATATAAATATATATTTAATCTCATCTTGTGATATGTGAGACCTGGGAATTTGATGAGTTGAAATGGCACTTCATTCTCAACCCAAGTACTGAATGCTGAACATAAATCACAGAAAATATAACTCATGAAATTTATTTTCTTGGATAATCATTTTTATTGAGTGCTATAAAATACAAATGTTCATCTTACATTTGGAAATGTTGTAATAAAAAAAAGCATAGCTAATGGTTAGAAACATGTCTTTCATAATAAGAGCCAAATAGTTCATAGAAAATTGGTAGTGTGCACTGAAGTATGTTTACAGAATATTGATAAGACTGGGGGTATAGTTCAGTGATAGAGTGCTTGCTTGCCTACCGTTAACAAGGCCTTGGGTTTGTTCCCCAGCATGCACATCATAATCATAATAATGTTAAACTTATTTTCCTAAAACAAAGATTCAGCTTATTATGGTGCATAAATAGAGCAAACTTACCAATATTGAATTTAGTACCATACACACAGATTGCCTTATTTATGTGTATATTATATGTAGCATATGAAAATCTACCCATGAATTAAAACATCATGCATGTACTTTTACATATACTTTTAATCACTTATTATAAAGCCAACAATCTGTTTATTGTTCCTTGTTTTAATGCATGATTTTTTAAAATAGAAAATGAAATGCTACGAAAGTTTTAATTAGTTTAGACTTTAGAATACCCCTAAGTTAAATAATGGTTTACAAATAAAGATATGCCCAACTGCTTTTCAAGTGGCATATCATCTTAGGCATGCAGTATAAAGCTATAAATACTATTCTAGTTTACTTTATTCTGTGGTTAAATTTCATACACTGAATATCAAATTCTTACTTAGGATGCATGGAGAATTTAGGTTGTAAAACAGGAAACTTGTAAACATGTTTAAATGAGCAAGGAAAAGATAATGATAATGATGATTAACAGCAAACTAAATTAAACTAATGCATGCATATGGCTAAATGATACAGTTTACACCAAGTTAAAAAATATTAGCTTATCTGGTCCTCCTTGTTTGATTTGATTAACATCTGAGGGTTAAAATAGGCTACCAAATATATATTATGCAAGTGAGGACTCATTAATTTCAAAATTTAAAGCCAGATTAAAGTTTAAAAAAAATAAATTACACTTAAGTTTACTGGTCATATGCAATTATATTTAATTAATACTCAGTGAAGCATAAAGTCACCTAAATTAATTAATTAAATGAACTCATGCACAGGTAGCATGTACAAATATAATACCTTACATAACTTTCTAAAAGTTCATGGTTTTGTGGTTTTTGATGATTTTTTTTGATGATTTTTAAGTAACTAGATCTAACCAAACTCAAATAAAGTTTTAGTCATTATGTTAATATAAAAATATCAATGAATTTTACACTAATATTTAAGAACCTAATTTGTTTCAAAGACAGATGACAAACATTTTCAGACTGATATTTCAGATTTATTAATTATATTATATATAATTTTTAATTTAAGATGTTCTTTATCAGGAACATCTATAGAGATAAACAGAGGTTTCCAATGTAATAACACTGGATTTTACTTCACAAAATCTACCTTTACTTTCTTCTAAAGAAACCAATTTGTGAGTATGGTATATATAAAATTATCTGAGTTCTTTTAGCTTAGTTATAGTAATCTAGCAGTTTGATCTAATAAGGAATACAGGCCAAAGTTATTTCCACATGCTATGTGTGTATATAAATATATATTAATAAATATATAAATGTATATACTATGTTAAATAAACATATAAGTATGTATATGTTTATATATGTATGTATATATTTATAAACATAACTTATTGCCAGATAATGTATATGTATATAAAGGTACATATACATATATATTATAAATACATTTATAAAACACCATAAATTACATAGGTAAATTTACCATAAAATTGATTTTAAAAGACAAAACTGAATGATTTTCTTACCAATAATATTTCTTTTTTTTTTAAGAGAGAGAGAGAATTTTTTAATATTTATTTTTTAGTTTTCGGTGGACAGAACATCTTTATTTTATTTTTATGTGGTGCTGAGGATCAAACCCAGCGCCCCGTGCATGCCAGGCTAGCACGCTACCACTTGAGCCACATCCCCAGCCCACCATTAATATTTCTACCTTTCAAAAGGAGGAAAAGACAAAGCCACGACTTTAATAATAAAATGAAAGCATGGCACTGACCAAAAACTCAAATTCTGGCACGATTTTTATAGTTGCAACAAATTGTCTATAGGCTAATTTTAATAATAAAAAGAATGCTGTAGACATAGCTGCAATGGGAAGCAAATAAAAATGACTTATCAATGGAATTATAGACCTCCTTTAAGATTTACTTGCAGCATCTAAATTCTTATCATGTAAAATTGATTTTTAAGTCAATGATTTTTTAAAACAAGTTTTAAAACACAGGAACTTTTAGATAAATGAATATTGCTCACTTATTTCAGTTGTACTGGCCAGTTTCTGAAATAAGGTTTTCATGTGATGAATCATTCACAGAGAAAAAAGTTTCCTTATTTGTCACACTCTTTGCTCTGTTTGAAAGTCTCAGGAGAGAGAAGCCATCAAAGTCAGTAGAGGCCTTTCACAACCAAGAATCACACAAAGCATGAGATCAGTCAAGTGAGCTATGAGTCATCAAACAGCACTTAAGCAATTTTAAGTTTAAAAAATGCATATGTATCTTAGTTAGAAATCAAGGGCTCATATATTTTTAATTTAATAAATTATATATTTTTTCTGTCTTGACTCTGCCATAGATATCACAAGTCACTCTCTAGCCCTAATTTTGGACTCTATCATTTGATCTCTAGCATCATTTCCAGTTTTACCATCAATTATTGAGTTTTAATATATTGACAGTTATTAATGTCCAAAATAGAGACAAGGTTCTTCCCCAGATGAAACTAATATTCTATGTCCAGATGAAACTGGACAACCACATGAAATAAACTTCCAATGAGTAATACAGGTATTTTAAAAAGATGTTTGTCTTAGTTAGAATGACAACAGGATCGGAGCTGGGATACAGCTCAGTGGTTGAGCATTTACTTAGCACATGTGTGGACTTGATCCCCAGCACAGAAATAACTGAGTAAGTGTAAGGTTGGATCAAATTGAGATCAATCCTGAGCATAGCATTTTATAAAGGACATCAAAAATTTGAATTAATCCAGAAAGGAATGGTCAGCAGAGTATCATTGCATGTAACAAATAGATCTAGAATCTTAATTAAACATGTAATTTTTGAACACCTCTTTTGTGATTAAAATTCTAGAAGCCTTCCAGAAATTTATGAAGAATTATGATAAATTTCTTTTTGATATCACTCCTTCAAATAAGGATAGTTCATGACACAACTTTCTATTGCCTTTCTCTTACATTCCCAATAATTCAGAAAAGTTTTTTTCTTTTTTTTATCTTTTTTTGGGGGGCGGGTGAAGGGGGGTACCAGGAATTGAACTCAGGGGCACTCAATCATTGAGCCACATCCCCAGCCCCATTTTGTATTTTATTTAGAGACAGGGTCTCACTGAGTTGCTTAGGACCTTGCAGTTGCTGAGGCTAGCTTTGAACTGGCCATCCTCCTATCTCAGCCCCATGAGCCACTAGGATTGCAGGCATGTGCCACTGCACCTGGCTCTGAAAGTTTTTTTTTAAGGCCCTGCCAGGCACAAGGCACACAACTAGTGAGGCATCTTTTATTTGCTTGATACTTGCTCAATATGTTCTTTATAATGTTTACATTAGTGTACTCTCATATTTTGAATTTTTGGAGGGAGTATATCTTCTCTAAAATTGCAGTTTGCCCAACCTAATATCAGGATTACCCATGCTCTTAATTGATAGCCCTTTTGAATTATGTGTCCCTCTGATTTAAACACTTTCTAGAGGCTATTGGATATTCCACTTGTTCATAGAATTTAGTGTATGCTTATATTTCTATGTCCCTGGTGTACTTCAGTTGCTCAAAAATGCTTTTAGGATGGATATAACTGCTGAATAAGATTTATTTGATGAATATGATGGATGACAGGAAGAGAATTTCATGTTAGGCATGAGATAGCTCCTACCATAAGAATATCCACTGCCCCTCTCATTATACTTGGATTTCTTAAACACAAATTCTGAGTTCAAACCAAAAAATATGAGACACTTGCAAGCTGCATTTATGTATCAGTAAATTAGTCATCTTACAATACTCAGATTTCATTGGCAGTCATAAAAATAGGTTACTATGCAAATCCTTATGGTTTTGCTATTTGTAGGCCAAACAAGTAGTCCAGTGGGATGTCAGTAGGTGTCAGTGGGAGAGTGAAGACATTTCTTTTTGTTAATTTATTTCTAGATGTGTTTTTTTTTCCCTTTTCTCAGATAAACTCTCTCAGGGAAGATGGACTTTTTCTGTACCCTACAGAGAGATTAGTGAATGCATAATCACACTGTGACAGGTCCTGTTCCAATGTGTTTCTCATTAAATTCTCTGTCGTCCCCTCTGTGGGAAACTGGAAAAATTTATCAGATTTTCATATGGGGAGGTGAATTTCTGCTGAGGAGGCAACACAATGTCTTTTACTCTCCAGAGAGCAATTATGGCTGTGCTTCCAACAGCAGTACTTCATTTTATGATAGGGCCGTCTTTGTAGTATGTGTGCATTCCATAGCCTGTTTCCATACTCTGACCCAAGTTATATATTTACATTTCTAAAAGTTTGCTAGTTGTCCTACATTTGCCTCAGTAGAAGGCCCCTGAGAGTACGTGTATCTGTAGACTAGCATATTAAATGTATAAGGAGAATATACAA